ACACACACACACACACACACACACAGTAGCTCCCTCACCCCCTTCCATCTCCCCACCTTTCGCGAGTTAAAGAGAACAAGAGCCAACCTGATTGAATTGGCAGCCGAGAGCGAAGAGGAGAGCTACTGTAAGGTCAGATGGATTATCTTAATCCCGCAGAAGATGATCATGACAGGAGGAAGATGTATCAAGACGCCCAGGCCTCCTCCCCACCAACTGGGGCGCGCCGATTTCCTGCAGAAATGCAGGCCTCTGAAGTAGCAGCAGCATCGCTTTTATGTTGGCATAAAGTCTTATCTGCTCCTCTGGACATATGAGAAAGAAATCTGTTGCAATTTCTCTGTGTAATCCTATCCGGGGCCGTATCCGTGGCAGCCATTTTGTGCAGGGCCATCTTGTTTCCTTTCTCGCAAACTTTTTTTTCGGTATGCTTTGATTTCGATCCAAGTGCGAGGGGGAAAAAAAAAAAAAAAACTTCAGGGGATTTGTGCGAAACGCTCTGTTGACTAATTCTGAACTATGTCAGGCTGCTACATGCAGCGTTTTCTTTTTTTCTTTCTTTCTTTTTTTTTTGTGTGGGGCCAAATTAACGACGCTCTGCCTGAAAGGCCATGTCAGAAAAATCTAAACCCATAACTCCCAGAGCTCAAAGTATTAGGACTACATAAACTGTTGCTGAATTATATGGCTGCTTTTCCGGACTATCTCATTTCACGTGTTAGTAACAGTTTGTCTTTTTTTCTCTCTCTCTTTTGTCAACCAGGTTTGTTGCAGGAAAGGGCCTTGTGATTTACCCAGACATTGGGGACAAGCTGGACATCATTTGCCCTAGAGCGGACGAGGGAAGAGATTACGAATTCTACAAGCTGTACCTGGTGAAGAGGGAGCAGGCTGAGAGCTGCAGCACCGTGCTGGACCCCAACGTCCTGGTCAACTGCAACAAGCCGGAGAAGGACATCAAATTCACCATCAAATTCCAGGAGTTCAGCCCCAACTACATGGGCTTGGAGTTCAAGAGGAACGTCAACTACTACATCACCTGTAAGCCGCTCACGCAAAAAAAAAAGATGATTTATGGCGGATGTTTAGCGTTTTCACCTTCATTCAGCCGCATAGGCCCGGCGGAACAAGCCGAGTAATAATCGGGGCTTCACACTCAGTTACACACAGTCACACCCGGGAGTTTTCCCCAGTAAAAAAAGCATTTTAATGGCCGCTGCTGCCGCCGCAGCCTCGTAGCAACGACCGGAGGCTGTGTGCCTTGCCAAAGGCGGGGCGCTGCGAGGTTTTTCTTTTTCCCGAAGGTGTTAAGTGGCCTGTGTCATTTACGGCTCCGGCTGGCAAAACCGCCGCCCGCTCTTAATGTTTTCTTTGCATTTCGAAGCGTCAAACATAATGACCGAATTCCACAGGCATATTGCCCTTAAAGCTCAGGGCTACTCCAAGCACGCTGCTTTATTAATAAAAAAAACTGTAAATGCTCGATAGATTAAAAGCACAACATATTAGAATTTTGTCATTTGATTATGATTTGGTCTGATAGAATCCAAAGATTAGGGAGTGCACACAAGAAAAAAAAACCCCATAATGGATCGTTTTTTAAAAGCTTTAGGTAGAAGAGCACTGAGAGCAGCCTGATTTGATTAATTTCAATTTCGGGTTTTCTGTTAAAGTTGTTACAGTCTTGTTATCTTAATCGGTTTGTCTACAACACGCGTGTTGGAATCTTGTTAAAACACTTCCTGTTTAGGCAAATCCTAGTCTTTCATCTTTCTAAAAGAAGAAAAAAAAAGAAAAGACGCCATTAGATGCCAAATTTGGAAACTGACATTATAAGAACAGTGGAAGTATTTGTCTGATTTAAAACAATTGCAGACCTATCTGTTGGAAATTTTGCAGGTGATCGTTATTGGCCTGAGAGAAACTATGTCCCCTGGATTTTAGGTCCATCTGGAAATCTGTAGCTGGATAAAACCACCAAATGATCAGAAGTTATGCCGCATTTGCTATTTAAAACGCTGGAGATGATGTGGGGAAAGAAACGCAGACGGCAAAACATAACAAAACCCGACACCTGACTACCGCTGAGTTTGTATTTAATCAATGCGTGCCTGCAACCCTCTTCTCCTCGGTCACCGGGTTTGTGAGTGAACTGTAACAGGTTGAAGATGAGCCGGTGATCAGCAGAGTCATCACCTGAGCAGTCCCCTCTGTGTCGGTTTTTATGAGGACGTTGAGCCAGATTCTGCAGGCGCAGTGGGGTGTTGCCTTCTGATTCAGACTTGTTTTTTTTGTTGTTTTTTTTACTTCAAACCATCCCGGAGCCAAGTCCAGACCACAGGTTGAGCGGGAGGAGTCAGGGCAGCAGGAAAAACTGGAACCGCCGCAGAGTCTGGTTCTCCGGCAGGTTTTTGGGTTCAGCTTCTCGTTTGCATTCCGGCTTACCTGAACGTCGGAAACAGAGCCGGGTTCAGCAGGGGGGGGGTCCTGTGTTTGGGCTGGGCGTTGGCTGCTCCCCGGTCACATCAGGCCTGATGTCAGCCCCATCTTGAGGGCCAATAGCCGGCACTTTGAGTCTGAAACGTCCCACATCTCAGCTCTGGTGCAAAGCGTTCGGTGCTGTTCACTTTCTGTTTACGCAAGAGAGCACATTGGATCTTAAAACATTTGGAGAATGAAAGAAACATAATCTAGTCGTTTCCTTTCAAGTCTTCTCAGGTTTTTGGGTCTTAGCCGCACGACAAAGAGAAAAAGGTTTGGCCTCATCCACCTCAAATTCCTCCAGCTCAAAGTCTTCAAACAGACGACAGCACAGGGACTTTATTTCCAAGTTCGGTCTCCGCTTTGTTAAAGACAGTTTAGGCTGACACGGATCATGTTTGTGGTTCCGAAACTCACTGCTCTCTCAGTGTATTTTTGCTCTTCTTAAATATAAATGCGATCATTTCTTCAGCAGTCAGCTGGGATAGGATCTGTTCTTTTCTGCCAAAGCACCGAGAACTCCACTAACAGGGCAATGTAATGCAGTGTGCCACAGATCCTGGACCACTTCTAGAGCCTGATCATATGTGGGAACACCAAACGGCAGCGTACAAACTGTTGCAACCTGATGCAATTCCACTCACTCCACTAAATGGAGTGAAACATTTACACTAAATAAAGTTTGAAAGGCGAATAGAAAAAAAAAAGCATAACTTGATAGGTCTGCAGATTCTTCTGCTTCCGCAGGGAAAAAAAGTAGACTTTAATATTGAACAAACTGAGGGCCAAATAGACAAAAAAAACACACACACACACACACGTTAAAAAAATCACAAACGCAGGCTTAACAATTCAAACACGGTTGACACCTGCACAAATGAACACAGTTTGCTCAGGGCGAAAGAGATTGGCAGTTCTAAAGCAGAATTCTCATTGTTTTTGCACAGAACTCTACAATCTAGTGCTGATATCCTTATCCCACATTCCTGGAGCTAAGATAAACAGTTTGCCCCTGATGAATGTCGCCATATATTTTCCTGCAAAAGATACGCCCAGCGAGCATTTATATGTAAAATATTCCACATGTTCTAATGCGCAAGATAAATAGTCCCCAAACCACGTGACTTCATTTTACCAACAGGAACTCCTTTGGAATCCACGTATATATAAACATGTTATCAGCTTTGCAGATTTAGATCTTTCGAGGCAACAAATGGGCATGGAGGTGTAACCGATAGCCGAGACACAGAAGAATGTTGTGTTGGATTATTTTTTTCAACGTGCAAGCTACTATACTGTGTGGCACCAGGCAAAAGATAGAACTTTGGCCTTATCTGACAAGTATTGTAGCCAGATTTGTTTCACAAACCTGACTTTTTCTCACACTTTAACTTGCGTTATGCCTCCACAAGCGGTCAGTCAGCTTCTCCCTAGCTTCTCCCTTTCCCGCTAAATGATTGAAATAATCTTAGCTGATCCAAGAATTTGGTATGTGAACAGATATGCTGCAAGCTGCATTTTGTCAAGGAAGTGCTGGCATAGTAAGAATCAATATGGGCTCTGCGGGCCACCAGAAAACGGCCCTGCAATCAGTATCCACTAATGAAGTACTGGATAGAATTCTGAAATGGGACATAACTTAACATGGTGCCGGACATCAGTGAGACGCTTTGATTGATCTCCTGATATCGTTTAAATTTTGGAAGGGCCTGAGAAGACATAAAGCTCCCGCCTGTTCTCTCTCTAAAGACTTATCCTTCTCATCGTCCTCCTCCAGGAGAAAAAACCCCCCCACCCCAAATGAAATCTCACACGCATTTGTTTTTCTTTCATCTCCAGCCGTTCGATCGATAATTCTTCCCCCTTCCCTTCGCAGACGGAACGCAGGGAAGCATGAGGCCTGTGATGTTATCAAGGGACTATTTTCGGTGGGGGGGGG